TTTAAATTGGATGGAGAGGGAAGGCCTCTCTGAAACGGTGTCATTTAAGCTGAGTTCTGTACAGCAAGAAGGAGCCAGCCATGGGCACCCTCCCACCCACCATACTTAGCTTACTGTCAGGCGGCCCCCCACTTGGAGGCATATTTTTCAGGGCCAAAAAATCGTCTTATACGCCGGCAAATACGGTAATTTAAATTGGATGGAGAGGGAAGGCCTCTCTGAGACGGTGTCATTTAAGCTGAGTTCTGTACGTAACCTTTTAAAATCCCATGGGCACCCTCCCACCCACCATACTTAGCTTACTGTCATCTTAAAGTGGACCTCTGGCTTTAGGCTTCCCTTCCTTCTTAATTCCTTCATCAGAACTTAAAGACAGCCATGCAAACAAACATAGCCACCTGTACATACTTTATAGAACAAATTGTATATGCATGATAATCCACCAGTTCTTGACCTACAGCTCAGAGTGTTAGCTGCTTGGTGAATCACAGCCAACCTGAGCTCAATCTGAACAAAGACTGAATGAAACCATGGTGCATGCATCTCCCTGCTAAGGATAGCGAGTGATTCTGCAAGATAATGGATTCGACTCATTCACTAAGACCTTACTATGTGTCACAAAGGCCCCAAAGACCCCTGTGTCACAATACATCCTGTGCAGTCTCCTCCTCTTGTGTGGGCTGGACCTGGTGACTGTCTTCTAATAAACAGAATACGGTGATAGGATGTCTGTCCCTTCAAGAAGTAGGCTAAACCAAGATATAGAAATAACCTAAATGTCCTGCCTACAGATGAATGGATAAAGAAAATGTGGTATATACATACATAGAGTGGAGTATTATTCAGTCTTAGACTGTCAAATAAAAAAAATCACAACATAACAATAGCTGTCCGGTGTGAATGAATCAAAATCATACCTATTTTTTCATCAGATTAGCAAAAAAATAGAGCATAGTTTTTGGTGTGCTGCAGAATTTTAGTAATTAGCTTATGCGTGCCAGTAGATGAAAAAGATTGAAAATCAACAGTCATTGTCTCAAAAGGTATTAAAATAAAAATTTCATTATTACTTGTTTATTTAGTGAAATCTTAGATAGAATCTCAATTTTATGATAATAATGTACAAAACAGATTTGACCTAAAATGTGTGACGGCTCACATTTCACTATTCGATTTACCTTATGTACTTAATAAAGGAAATTTGTTGACTCAGGACTCTGCATTCTCAAAAGTACCTGGATTCTCTTAAGATTCCTGCTACAGAAGCTGGTTGTCTTTGGTCTCATCTTAACTTTAATAAAGGCCGAATTAAAAATATTAGAGGCCTGTAATCCTTAGTTCTAAAAGGAAGAATCTTTGGTATACATCTATACTTCCCCCAGCCCCTCAGAAGGGCAAATTTTTATATTATGAGAATAAATTAACATTTGCATTAAATGATTTCACCAAAGTCCAGAGCTACCCGCAGAGCAGGGCTCAGGTATTAGTTAGCTGACATCTACAAGAGCCGGGGGAGAGCTGTGATGCTTTCCCTTCCAGGGCAGGGCAAGCGTCTTCCCGGGGAGGAGCCCAGATGCTCTCTTTAGACTCCCTGAAGCACTGTTCTGGCAGTTCAAGCCCTGGAGTTTGGATGTGCTGAGGTCTCTTCCTAAAGCACCCTGATCCACCGTGAGAGTAGAAAAGACACTTAAGGACCCAGTAGCGGCGAGAGGGTTGTTTGTTTTCCTAGTCAACTTAAGTATCAGACTGTCTGCTTAAAGAGTAAATGAAATGCCTGGAAATGGAGGCTAA